TATTTCTTGAAGCTAAGTCTTAAATTCTACAATTTATTGCACAAAGGTACCTGTCAAATAAATCTTCCAAATACATTAGTGTTACGTGTAGCAATTTATGTAATGTTGTTATATAAATCGGATGGGTGCGTCCGATTTGCATAAGAACTCTGGGATACAAAAGGAGAGACCAAAATAGAATTTCGGGCTCTCCTCTCTCCCGAAATGCGGAAAGAGAGTCAGTCGTAGTTTTGAGTAGATTTAGGAACTAGCAAGTTAGATTTATGTAGGTTATGGGAAGGAATAAAAACTTTGGTTTGTAAATTCTGACAGTTTGTGATTATTGTGCATCAAGGAACAAGAAGAACGGCTACATGAGCATATATGTAACACAATTTTAAGAACAAAGTTAATCATTACATCTTCCTCCTCCAGAACATTGCAAGTTTTATGAATCCTCTCCTAAAATCCGGGTTACCATACGCATAAATGCCCGGATTACAGGCCGAGTTTGAGTAAAAAATTGCTACAGTGACGGCCGAAATGAGCGGGGCGGGTGGATTTCCTTCCGGCATAAATCCGAGGATTGCATACTCCACCATAAAGGGAAGCCAAGTCAGGACATACGCAATGATAATTATTCCCAGCATTTTTACCTCTCGGCGATTCCTTTTCAAACTTGAGACCTCATCTTCCGCCATCCTTCCAATTCTGATACTCGTCGCCCTCTGAATATCGTACCAATTGCTTTCACTATTCTGCAAGTGTTCCCACCTCTGCTGCAACTGTTGGAAGATGGCGGCATACGTCGAGGCCAATAAAGTGGTTAGATTACGGAACCAGGGGCGATGGTAAAAGTTCTTTAATTTGAGTTCATAACATTTGCCTTATGGATATCCCTATGCATTTAATGATCCCCAAAAACCTCACAATTCCTCCCTGGTAAAATCTGACCACATCATAGATACATCTATGATGTGTCAGATTTGTATGTATACATACAAATCTGTCACGTAATGCTCATGATGGACTTTAACCTTTTTCCATCCCCCGAGAGGCGCCCTAATCCAACCAGTAAAGCCATGGGGAGGATGAAACTTCCAAATGCAAAGTGGACACTTAACTGCCTCGACACGTTGGATAAGCACATGCCAAATGATCCCCCATTCCCGCCCAATCTCGCATTTCTGGCGCAATCAGCCACAACGTCAGCGTCCAAAGGAGACGCGAGTCTCCCTAGAAGATCACAGTAGGTCGCACACGGGGGAGAAACCCTTCAAGTGTGAGACGTGTGGCAAGGAGTTTTCGACACACGGAATCTTAGCGAGGTAAGACTTGAAGAGATCTGTTACCCTTACCGTCTCCACTGCCTGACCACAGGGTAAGGAAAACCCCGGAGTTTTGCTATTGAAAACCCATACCCTGGGGTTTTACCTGGGTTTTGCGGGTAGTCTGGGTAGTTGGGGTTTTGGGGGCAAACTGAGCCAGTATCCCATGTATTCAGGATTTCCAAGTTGTGAAAACAATCTGCTTTTGCAGTAATTTCACAGCAAACCAACTTATTAATTCAATTTTAATAATTAGCTTTTATAATTGTAAATAATACCCTGTTGTCATATATTTTGCACTTTATTAAATTTTAAAACCCCGACTACGCCAACTACCCGTGGGTATTGCTCAAATTTGCTACCCAAAACCCACCAAAACCCGCAATACCCCAAAAACCCGGGGTAGCATACCCTGCCTGACCATGCATGGTCCCTCTTTATAAACGAGGGCAGGTTCGCTGTAAGAAATTCATGCAAAACTTGTCCTCGTTGTCAGTGCCCGTTCGAGGCCTTCAACGACTGTAGTCAAATCCAAGAATGGCGCCTTTAGGGGGTGATACCAAATATTTTTTAATCAATTTATTCCAACTTTATTTTATGTAAGCATCAAAAAATGTATTGATTTGAAGCAACTTTTAAAAAATAGAGTAATGTATGAATAATACAAAGACTTCCATCATATAGCCACCGATAAGAAATGCAACACTCGGTCACTCCCCCTGACATGTGACTTGAATTTTAGTACATGCAACTTTTTTCATAATTTAGATGAATACTTTGTCGGGCTCGATTGACATGTGTTTGACTGACTAATTGTAAGTTGTCTTCCTCAAATGCAATAACCATTTAAACTTAAAATTAGAAAAAATCTAAGAATTCAAGATTGAATGAACAATTCCCGTGCTACAAGTCTTATCGGTTACTATAATGGTGGTCTCGGCTCGGGTGGAAGATTATTCATACATATGTAAGTACCTAAATTTTCAAAGTTGCGTCCAATATATGTTTTTTGTTGTTACTGACTACTGACATAAAATTAAGTAGGAATGAATTTGTTCAAAAATTGTTGGGCATGTCCCCCAACTACTCGTCCCATAAGAACACGCTTCATTATATTTCTTTATATGTATGTAAATACATACAGCGCCCCATGATTTTAAGTACAAAATGTGTCTCGCTCAAACTTACAATATTCCTTGCAAAGTTTGAATAATTCTATCAAACATGCCTGGATTAGAGATACATGAAGAATAAGTTTAATTCATTATTAGTATGTATTGGTGGGGTGACGATCCTGCCATAGTTAGACTGGACCTTCAGCTGCGCAAGCACTAGGGCTTATTGCAGTCATTATTAGTAAATCGTGTATTAAATTTTAATATTTGTAAACTTCCCGAATTAAAACAGAGTTTACAGAAACGTAAATATTCTAATGAACAGAAATGGCATGCGTGACTCTATTGTTTATCAAAATTTTATTATGCAAAGACGCCATGTGAATTAGTTCAAGTAGATTGCAATGCAAACTATGGACTTACATGAACATGTAATGTTTAGTAAGTTATAATGTGACCATTCTTTGAGATGGATGGTAAGCTTATCTAAAAGCTCATTAAAGTAAGCTAAGTGTAAAAAATAAACCAGTAAAATGACCTATGTGCAGCCAATTTAAAAAAAATGCTGTGGGGGTGACTTCACGTGCATATTGCAGTATGACATATTGTAAATAAAATCCCCCCAGTGACCCAATTTCAGCTGGTCACAGCCACTTTTAGGTGAAAATTAATACGTTTTTGCACAAAAAATAATTCACCAAAATTCCAATTTTGGTCGCATATTAAAAAATTATACATACTCGATCTCACAAATAAATTATCGATCAATTCAAGTTTATTTTTTTCGAGAAATTTTCAAAAATTGTGAAATTAAAGAAAAACTTAAATTCATATTAGAATTGATCGACAATTTATTTATGAGCAAGAGTGTGTACAACTTTTGAATATGCGACCAAAATTTGAATTTTGATGAATTATTTTATGTACAAAAACGTGCGAAATTTTCATCTGAACGTGGGTGTGGTCAGTTAAAAAGGGGTCATAGAGTTACAAATTAAGCAAAGACTGAACTTAGGAGGATAGCAGTAGGCACCCATAGATTTCGACACCCGTGCCGGAAATGCCTGAATTTATGATTAAGTGAAAAATACGTAGAAGGCCTATGTAAAGAACGTCCGGGAATGAATGGGAATGCACGCTCTAGCGAGTATATTGACAAATCAATAAACCCGCGAACTATAATAATTTAAATTTCTGAAAGCCCACTTCATTAGGGTCAATTTGGTATATCACTCTTAAATTTCAAAAATGGATAAGGGTAGAAGAAGCTTGTTTGAAAGGGAGCTGTTAGCAAAACGAGTGATGGAGTTCTACAACACGACAGCCAACCGAGACTCCAAGGTGACCTGGAACTTTTTTAAGCAGGAAGGAATTCCAAGTTCAAATGTGTATTCCTACATAAAAAAGTTCAAGGATTCCGAAAATGTGCAATTCAAGAAGCCAGCTGGTCGTCCGGCGAAGCTAGCGACCACTCGAGTGAAAAATAGAATTGAAAAAAATTTCAAAACCAAGCCATCAACGTCAGTAGCTGTAGCTGCCAGGAAAGTCAAAATTTCCAAAAGCTACCTGGGGGAAATTAAGGTCCATAAATTAGGAATCAAAGCAAGGACCAAAAAACCTGCACCAAATTACAAGCCCGTACAAGAAAGTCGGATCAAGGATTGCTGTCAAAAATTGTTGAAGAAAATGCGTGGAAAAGTAGTGATCCTGGATGACGAAACGTATGTTCCGGTTGACCCTTCAAATCTTCCAGGGCGTCATTTTTTTCATAGCTCGGATCCCTCTGAAGTGGCTTATGAAGAAAAAGTACGAAAAAAAGACAAATTTCCAAAGAAATATTGCATTTGGCAATGCATCTCCAGTCACGGACATGTATCAGACCCGGTAGTTCTCGAAGGGAATATCAATCAAGATATTTATCTGAAAAATTGCGTCAAGGCTGGATTGGAAGCATTTATTAATAGGTTTCACAAAAATGATAAAGTTTTGTTTTGGCCTGACCTCGCCACTTGTCACTATGCAAAGAAAGTGACCGAGTACCTCAGAAAGAAAAATATTGATTTCGTACCAAAAGATATCAACCCACCTAATGTACCCCAACTCCGCCCAATCGAAAAATTCTGGGCACGTTCTAAGTCAGTATACTCCCGGCTTCAAGATGTGCCTGACACCTTTCGAAAATTCAAAGGACGATGGAAGAAAATCACCTCGGAAGTGGCAAAAACTTCGGGAAAAAATTTAATGAAAAATCTTCGCAAGAAAATCGAACTAGTCGCCAACAGGGGTGTGGCGGCCTTAGCTATTAATTAAATTATGTAGGTACGTATTTGGTATTATACATATGCAAAAAGTTTAAAATTCCGATAACTCATTGTGATTTTATGACCACATTTTCAGACCATTCCCATTCATTCCCGGACGTTCTTTATGTGTATAACTCAATTGTAACTTCAGTGCCCCTTCATACCTTAGTAATCATTTTTGAGTGCAGAAATGGACGCGATATTATTTACGAGTTGTCTTATGGCACCCAGTCAGTATGCAACGGGGCAGTATTGTTATCCAACCACAAATCTGTAAATATTTTCATTTTATTCATATTTTTTAGTTATTGCAACATTTTAATAAATATTTACCAGATGCATATGCTAAGGACTTCAATTTAAATAAGAAATTACAATTTTCCATCATTACCACATATTAAATACAACTAGTGCAAGTGTCAAATTTGTGCAGAAATTTGTAGTTTGTGTCTGCTAATTTATTCTGTAATTATCTTATGTATCTCCCCATTTCTATAGTATAACCACCATCATGGCGAAATACTTGGGCAAAAAGTTTGCGAGTAGAAACCGAAAAATTAATCACGTCTCGATCCCACCCCTCAAGAACCAGTCGATCCCGTAGAAAAATAGCGAATGATGCATGATTTAGAACAATATTATCATTTTGCGATCCCTTTTCCCATATTTTAAAGACATATTTTAAATCAGAGCCAACAACGTGATCAAGATCAATATTTTTAAATAAAACTGCGAAAATGTGATTCCTTTTGGAAGGATAGAAATTTTCACCTAAAACCTGCGAAAGTAATGGATTCGAGGAAATGATTGCGCCGTTAAAGTTAATTAGCGAATATTTTTCTAACTGGGTAACAACTACCAGGGTGGACTTCAAATCAATGCGAGAAACTAATTTACCTACCAATTTGCCAAAAATTGAGTGTTTTTCATAGATTGAGACCAGTTCGTGCAAAAATTCGAGATGAACTTCGCCCAGGCAATAAATCAGGATTAAAGTCGAGATCACTAATTTCGCTGGAGTTTTAAAGTTTTTTAAGATAGCGTCTACCTCACTATCGAGGAGATGCTGCAAAATACCGTGTTGCAAATTGGTGAGTTGTTCCTGCAAATTGTCATTATTGTCTGATTCCTGATTTTTTATGAAATTTGCCATCTTGACGATAGTGAGAGGATGACGAGTTTGACATAATTGGACACCTTCCTGGCCTGAGAGATGTTTCAAAAGCTGGCCGGCCTCGCTATCACGCATTTCCATAAGTTTGACTAATTTGACCCCACTTTTGAGCGGTAAATCCATCCCGCGTGTGGTGACTATTAAAATAATGTTGGAATCGACTAGGTCCAGAATCTCGGGGAATATTGACCCATTTCGATTGACGTCTAAATTATCGATTACAATGACCCACTTGACGTTCGGAACATCTCGAAATATCTTTTCCTTGATTGAGCTGAGCAGGGAGTGCAAAGTAGGTGCGGTTAGTTCAAAATGTTTAGCACATTTGTTTATGCCATCGGTTAGATGGCGGAATTGGCTTTCTCTAAAGAAAGTTATCAGCGGGGTAAATTCGTTGTCCGGACTGGTGTCCAGAATCTGGTTGATAAACTGTCTCACAACGGCGGTTTTCCCTTGGCCGGCAAGACCGGAAACTATAATAATCCGGGTACTCGTGTCGTTGTAGTGGTGAAGGAGGGTCTTGAGTTCGGCAACTCTGCCGAAAAAAGTGGCGCATGGCTTGGGAAGATTGAAGTGGTGGACAGATCCATAGTTTTGAAGGAGTTCTATGTATGTAGGAGAGAAATAAGACAAGTTTGTAAAATTAAAATTACATAAAAATTTGTTTAATTTAAATTGTAAATTTGGTGGAAAGGTTTGCTTTTTCTGAATCTTTTACGCCTAATGTTAACTTATGCTTTTTACTTTCTCTTTGGTATCAACTTTCACTTTACTTTCCCGTTACTTTCCTATCGGTAATTTTAAGTTCAGGTGAAAGCCAGTACTTTCACCATGCTATCACCTTTTCCTTTCTCTTTAACGAGGTAAAGTTAAAATTACAAAATTAAGATTTATAGCAAAATTAATGTCATCTTCGACCAATTTGTAAAATACATAGAAATTGACCCAGCGTAGGGAGGTTCGGACGATATTTCCAAATGGAACTATTGAGGTGGACTTATTTCTAATTTCGACATCCACAATCGTTCATTCCGATTTTTTAAAACCGAATAAAGTCCGATTTTCGATTTAACCGAAAACCGGTTTACGAGTTTCAAGAAAACGGGTTTTGTAAATTTTACGCACCCGTAGACCGGTTATCGATTTAGTATTTCTTATTATTGAGATAAAAATTAATTTTTATAAAATACCTTATTCCCAAGTTCATGTCTAATTTTGTATTACATTTTAAAATTTGTACTGAAACCTTTTTGCATAGAATCGAAAACCGGTTTTACCAAAATTGAAAAATCGGAATAATCGAGAACCGGTTTTTTTAAAACCTTTTGATTTTGGAAGCCTCATTTCTAATACGAGAACTTTGAGATGATCCAGAATTATACCTGAATACCGCTACAAATATTTACACTATAATTTACGGATAGCAATAATCGTATTTATTGCAAATCATCATTTTAATTTTCGATAAAACAGTGAAATAGAAATCTTTTTTTTTTAAATTAGTGAAAATTACTTTCACTTTGCCTTAAAAGTAGAATCGCGATGTACTTTCAAAAGTAACATAAAAGTAACGGTAAAGTGAAAGTGAAAGTCGAGTCAAAATTCCCCGAATGGAAAAGTAAAATCTATGGTAAATCCAAAGTTTTACTTTAGCTTTGCCGTTGGAGTTAATATTTGCAAAATCCAAAGCAAAATTGAAAAGTGACGGCAAAAGTAGTGGTAAATCCCGAGTTAACATTAGGCGTTATTAGAACTACGCTTAATGTCTAGACTATTTATATTGAATCGTAATTTCCCAATAAGCCGATGTCTTACTGGTATGTTTAGAAACGCCAAATTTGCATGATATTGTTAGGATCTCGTAAAGACATGTCCAATGTTACATGTCGGCAGAGGCTTGTTAATCCCGTATTGAGGATTGGGGATTAGGATTAAGATTTGGGATTAATTAATCCTTAATCTTAATCTTTAATCCCTCATTGTTTTACTTTTAATCGCTAATCCTAACTCAATTTAAACCGAGATTTTAATCCAAAGTTGGGATTAAAATGGGATTAGATTAGGATTAAATCTCAAATTCATTTGATTTAACTTTTTCATAGGAAAAATCAAATTAATTCTTACTTTCTTGCATAAGAAAATTAATTTTCTTCACAAGATGGAAAACACACTGATTTTGAATTAATTATTGGGCGTGTTTGTAAGGAAGAGCAATCATGGAAAAGTTTACCCTAAACGTAAAGAGTAAGAAACCTGGAAAAACAGAATTGTAGTAGTACAGGTTTCAATTATAGCCAGATAAAATTTCACATCTCCCTTGAAAGTACATATCGTCGGACTAATTCTAAAACAACCTAAGTGACTTCGTTTCTTAATTCTAAAACAACCTAAGTGACAATAAAAACTATAGCTTTTACTGTCACATAGGTTGTTTTCGAATTAAGAAACGAAGTCACTTAGGTTGTTTTAGAATTAGTCCGACGATATTTGTTTGTTTGCTCATCCGCCTCAGTCGAATGAGACTTTATTTACGACGGAATGATTTTTTCATTCAAGAGGTCTAACCATTCAGTTGAAATGCTTACTATGATCTCAAGGTTTGTTACTTGTTAGTTTCATAAAAAAATAAGGTTTAAATTTAACTAAAAATGTTTGTGTGTTTTTCTAATCCGGGATTAAAATTAATCCAAATCCCTAATCCATGAATTCTGTCGAAACAATTTAATCCCAAGTTGATCTTAATCCCGCAGTTGAGTTAATCGTTAATCTTAATCATTAACCCTCAAATTTATGTGATTAATCCCTAGTCTCAATCCCCAATCCCGATTTCAATCCTAAGTCTCTGCATTTAAAGATTCATTATAACTATGCCCTTAAGATACCAATTTTTGTCACATTTCTGGAGATATCATTAAAAGGTGGTAGCCGAATGGGTTTACCTGCAGCAGCGTCAAGCTTATTGAAGCTCAGGATCTGGCACAGTTTTGAAATGGTAGCCTGGTCTCCATTGCGAGTCACCCAGTCTGTCAATACATCCCGTAATGTCGTCGCTGTAAGTGGAATTCCTCTCAGAAAGTTTGACCGAAGGTGATCCCTTAGTGAGAGAGACGTTTGTAAAATATCGACCACCAAGTATCTCTCCGAAGTCAGGTTAGAGTCGCGAATTAATATATTACTGATCTTGTTTGGTAGCACGATCGTCATTTTGCACTGAATAACAAAAAAATAACAGTAAAACTTATCTGGCCCGCAGCCGACGTTGGAATGAATGAATATTTGTTCGTGTAGATTATGACGTGGGGAAATGTATTGGTCAGTGTTCGCCCCAGCAAAAATGCGCTGTTTTGCTTAAATCAGCGGTATTTTGCTCTGGAAGTTCCAACAGGGTAGTTGTGTACTTAATACGCAGATACATGGCGATCTATAAAACAGTAAAAAAGCAAGAGCAAAAAGAACAAAACTGCAAAGAAAACCATGTAAGTAAAAAAGCAAAATAACATTCCAAGCTTGCCTGGTTTTTGGCTAACACTGGTATTAACTGATAGACAATGTTATCAGTGCCATGCAGGATGTTTATTTAATGACGAAGCAGTGAGAGCTTATCTACATACACACATTTCAACTACTTCATTCGATGAAGCGATTATGAACGTTGGTATAGTTTCATTTGAGCATCTCCTTTTTACACTTCAGTTACGGTTATTGACGGAACCGTTCATGAAAAACAATTTTTTTCATGGATTTTTCCATTACATTGGTTTCGCTTAGAATTAAACATGTAATTTAAGATTTTACTTGCCTGACCAAGACATGACATAATAGTATGGAATAGCGAATTTATTTTATATTTTATAAATGCCCATGAAATCAGATTTAAGTCAAATTTTTAACCGGATGATTAATCATTACAAATTTTTTTGAATGGGATATTTATCCATTAACCACAAACCACCTCATCCTCAGGTTTGCACTCGAGTGTTCCAAAATCAAATAAATGACCGATTGGACATCTATAAATCGAAGCCCCTCCCTCAATGCATATTATGTAGAGCGAGCAATTATCCGGGTGTGGAAACTTATGCATCCCTTCGGCCGGGCAGGTGATGGTGGTTGGTGGTGGTGTCGTTGGTCCCTGGGTTGGCTCGACTTCCGGGGTGTCCGTGGCTTGCTGGGTGGTGGGTGTAGTTATTTGTACAGTGGTCGGCGCAGATGTGGTCGTGGGAATTGTGGTCGTTACTTCAGTAGTAGTTATGGTAGTAGTTGTCGGTTCAAATGTGGCGCCAGGATTTAAATCAATCTTCCACACTTGGTCATGCTCAATATACGTGCCATTTCCTTGATTCGAATATCCTCCAATCATATAAATTCTGTCCAACTTTTCCACATAAACTGATCCAGGGGCGGACAACCAATGGCCGGCAGCTCCAACCGGGAAATTATCCACGGGAATCAACTCATACTGGAAATTGGCCGGGTTCAATTTTACAATCCCGTCAGTGCGAGTGGGTGTCGCCCAATCGGTTTTGTATCCTCCAATAACGTAAACATTCTCCCTGGTGGACACGATGGAGGGGTTATATTTTATCTCGAGGAAATCCGTGGGTCCGACCGTGCTTTGTAAATTGTCCAGATTAAAGATTAGTGCAGTTCGGGTCTCTGGAAACCATACGTCTTGTATAAATCCAACGATCACGGCTTTCCGTCCAACCCGGGCGGCCGCCCTGTTCCGCTGCGTTATTGGTAAAGGTCCCAACCTGCTGGTGGTTTCCGTTGACATGTCATAAGACACGATATCGTCATCGAATCCAGGAAAAATATAGACAAGGTCGGAATCTTCGTCGTACTTGACACAGGTACTGGAATCAATGCTGTACGGTAGGGAGGTGACGTCGGTCACGACCTAGATAACGGTGAGACGATTAGGATAGGATCATACTCATTGAGGAATCTAGCTTTGACAGGATCCAAACGCAAAAAGTGATTTTTAACCTTGTAGATTTCTAAATACAGAAATAATGTATTTAATCCATGTTTAAAAATCGGTGAGGTTAATAATCACTCGTCTGATTTTTGCGAGACAAGGTAGTAACTTTACTACCACTATTTTCGTGATGAGTGTGAGAGTTCGAAATAACTCGTGTAACGATTGGATGGAAAACTTGGGCTATTATGTGTACAGCTTTACTTTCATGACACTTTACAAATTACAATTATTATGAGAGTTACATCTCAAATTATTACTAATAATTTGAAGTGTAACTCTCATAAATAAAGTGCGGCAAAGCACGATACATAAGTAGCCCAAAATTGCTTAGAATGCTTCACAAAACAAAACAAATAATTCACCGATTCAAATTTTAATAATGCCTAAAAACGAATTAATTAAAAACAAACTAATTATCTTTAATTTACCACATGCTCTATACTGCGACATGTCGACAACACAGAAAAACATGTTTTGCCTAAATTTCATGCATATCGACCACAAAATGCCGAAATTAGTGCAGGCGATAAAGCATGTCGAAAAAAGTGTCGAAATCTTAATCGCCATATTGCGAAATGTCAACAACACCGAAAAACATATTTTCCCCAAACTTCATGCATATCGCCCGCAAAACGTTCCCCCTATGATTAATTTTGTTACATACTGTACATATTTATCACTATTTTTATCTACTAAACCTCCCACATCCTACCTGGGTGCTTGGATCATATTTGAACACCCCGGTGTAATTTACAGCATTGTGTTGTCTGCCAAAGTAGAATATGTTGCCTGCGGAGTCCATCTGAGCAGAGGAGGAGGTCGAGTAGGATGGCATTTCCCCAACAATCTCAACCGTCTCAGAGGAAATGCTGAAACGCAAGATATCATTGCGTAGCAGGCCTCGCTGATTTCCACCAAACATGTAAATGTAGTCGTCGCCATCGTAAACTGAGGCAAAGTTTGTGATCGCGCCAGGAAGTCGAGCAACCAGGTCAGTGTGTAAGGCTTGAGAGAAGCACTTATTGTTACACGAAAGGAAAACCAAGAACCAAATTTTTAATGGAAATGATCCCATGATTATGGAAATATCTGTTTCAATGATACGTATTATTTTTGAAAAATTTTAACTAAAATGCAGGTTTTTGTAGCGACTCTTCCCAGCGTCAGTAATATGGTGACTGATCACCAATTAAATACCTTGTTTAAATTGTGGCAGTGTCACAGTGACGTTATTACCATAAGTGAGATTCAGGTTCATAGATAAGATTAGTAACATTGCTTAATAATTAGGGCATTCGCTGAGCACGTGAGTGCCAAAACCTACGATTAGATTAGACATACCTACATACACTCGTGCCAGACCAATGTAGCTGGGCGTAGAATTTTTGCTTGATTTGATAATGTATTAATTTGTGACAGGAAAAATGATATTGAAAAATGGTATGAGGAAATGAAGGTATAAGAAAAAATTGTAGAATGAAGAAATGGTGGATGAAACAAAAATTTGCTCTTTAGAAAATCTGGTGGCCCTTAAACGGACTTTAGTTTTTGAAGATCCTAGTACAGAGGACTTGGTGGTAATGTTATTTACCTTTAAGAACTTTGAAACCAGAGTTTAGTTCCACGTTTTCAATATACATAGTATAAGCATTAAGGCTGAGTCCCCATTAATCAGGATTACTTAATCACGAACCTCTGCTTATCAGCCTCAATGCCGAGACGCATTATATTTACAATAGAATGTAATTAATTTAGTCACCGGAGCACAAAATCACAACTTTTCGGCTGATAATGCTTTATACAGGGTGAGGCATAAGTTCGAATAAGAAATTTGAACCCTTGTATCTTCAAAACTACTGGACAGATTTTATTCAAATTTGCATATGTTGTAGTACATGCACTGCAGATAATACGAGAAAATCAGGCCCTTAATTGACCTTCAAATATCGAAATAGTTTTGAACTACCTATATTGATCTATGGCCGATGAGATGTAATTTTGCCGGCATTTCTTTCATGATTTTTTTAGAGACACAAAATTTTTATGAAATTTACAGGGCATCCTTGCCGCCTTCAAAATTGTCCGTGCATAGTAACCCAGATGGTCGTAATTATGTCCTTATGGTGCCAAAACCGAGTTGTACAAAAATTCTAAATTTCATCATTGCGCGAGTGTTGGACTCGCTACGCCGTGCTAATTGCATCAGGAAAGTCAAGGGCTGATTTTTTTAAAGATAAATATATTGTGATTCTACAACATTAACCATTACTTCTTGTATCCATGTTTTATGACAATTTTGACCCCTAATAGGACAAACATGACCTGGCCCGAACACACTACCATAAAACTGCACGGACAAAATGATTTATGGGCCTTGGTGCCGTTCTTCACTCAAAGTGCACTATTCATTGTGTATTTTGGCAGTCCGATGGACAAAACTGGCCTAAACGTTGAAATTTGGTGGCACATGCAAAATTTCGATCTGAAATTTTAGCGGGTAGTGCAATTTTGACGTCCCGGAACGTCTCCCTTTTACATCCACTATATTCGAAATACAAATTTCAAGTCAATGAGAAAAATTACATTTGTTGCATAATGTTTGGGATCATCTGTCTTTAAATTTCAATTAATTTGGGGAAACAGCTCATAAGATATAAGGGTTTCACTCCTTATTCGAACTTATGCCTCACCCTGTACGTATGTAGCATGACTAGTAATCAGTGTAAACTGCGCATTTATGTATAACAATCAGTTGAACTGAATTGAACTCGAATTATTGTGTAATGGAGGACAACATTTATTAATCAAGGCAACGTTTTCTCCCAAAAATTGTGGATAATTATACAAGCATGTACATATGTACTTCAGTAAATTCCGTGGCGATGCATGATATACGTAATTTTGTATAACCAATCGTATAAATTTACAACCACTTTATTCTCCAGGGGTAGATTCCAAATCAACTCCAGCGAAACAGTCCAAGAAATTGGAAATAAAATTTATAAATTTTCCTCGTATACAATTAAGTACATGGTTTTTTGCAGTTCTGTTGGAATATCACCCTGTCGTGTGATTCTGGTAGTGGATGCGGACTCCTTTGAAGTCCAAGTCCATCAAAAAACTGACAACTCCACGATTAGCACACCCTGCATTGTAGGGACGGAATCTGGAATGTAAGTTTTAGAAATATTTGACCGTTTTAAAGTCAATCAATCAAGTACATAAGTTAGGTGTGATTGAATTTTCGCATTTCTATTATGTATATCTTTTCCTCACAATTTGTTCCTTCCGGACGAATAAATAAATGCCACAGACAATCCAATGGCTATCTTTACAGCTAAGTTAGCTGTTAGCTGAGCTAACACGATCACTCGATGAATCCAGATATCGTCACTGTTCGTGTACAACATACCAGGTCAAGAAGTGTCACGTTTCACAAAATACCAAGTTAAAAGTTTGTAGTTTCAATAAATACCAAGTCATTTTTGGGGAGTATTGAGATTTTACGTTTGTTCACGGCGCACAAGATAGTTTTTACCCCTTGACAATTGTGCCCAAAATATTATCATACCAATGAGGTGAATGTTTAAAATTGTGCTTGTGCTGTTATGAGAGCAAAATTTAAGACAACCCATCCACATATTTACTTGTCTTTATTAAAAGATAAAAATTTCAACTTAGATTTTAAATACTAATGTATTCTGTATTCGACTCATGTTTATGCGGTGTCAAAAATGATAAAATATGTGTTTTTTTACTGCGGGCATCAATTGATGTGAGCGGCTGAGATGAAGTAACAGAACTGCTGGCATTCCCAATGGAAGAAGCATTATTTAAATTGTGGAGTGGTATTTCTACAAAATTGGGGGAACCCTCTGTCAAATTATTTGGCAGAAAGGCGTGGAGCGACGAATTCTGGGGTTGGGGGGACCTGTATGTAGCATAACTGTAGGAGTAGCTATACATACAGGATGCGTAGCTATACGTGTAACTGTCAGGGGCGTAAGTATACGTCACTTGGCCCAGATCGCATCTTGAGGGGGATGATTTGCCATAATTGTCATATTTGGACGAACGTGTCATCTCCACCCCGCACGATGTAGAATTAGTCTCACAAATTGGTTGTGTCTCCTCCACAATTGCTGCTACGTCTTCATTCCGGTTTTGGAAGTAACTGAAAAAGTTCAAGAAAATCTGAGATCCTCTTTTTGTGTATAAAAATTAAGGATTAGTAATCCGGATCAGAGCTGACGGATTATTCAGTAACTAGCCCAGAAGCCCGTCTTAAAGACAGGCCGATTTTAAAATTGCCAACCACCATCTGAAAATTATGATATTATTGCAGTATATAATAGCTCAGTATATCTTTCCTAACTTTGCTCTATAATCATATATTGCCAACGAATTTTTTTAACGTTGCTAAGGAATTTTTTTAACGTTGCTAAGGAATTTTTTTAACGTTGCTAAGGAATTTTTTTAACGTTGCTAAGGAATTTTTTTAACGTTTCTAAGGAGTTTTTTTAACGTTGCTAAGGATTTTTTTTAACGTTTCTAACGAATTTTTTAACGTTGCTAAGGAATTTTTTTAACGTTGCTAAGGAATTTTTTTAACGTTGCTAAGGAATTTTTTTAACGTTTCTAACGAATTTTTTAACGTCGCTAAGGAATTTTTTTTAACGTTGCTAACCATAACCATAACCATAATCATAACCATAACCATAATCAAAACCATAACCATAATCATAACCATTATCATATTCATAACCATAACCATAATCAGAATCAGAATCAGAATCATAACCATAATCATAATCATAATCATAATTATAACCATAATCATAATCATAATCATAATCATAACCATAATCATAATCATAATCATAATCATAACCATTATCATAATCATAATCATAACCATAACCATAACCATAATCATAATCATAATCATAATCATAACCATAATCATAATCATAATCATAATCATAACCATTATCATAATCATAATCATAACCATAACCATAACCATAATCTTAATCATAATCATAACCATAACCATAATCATACTCATAATCATAACCATAATCATAATCATGATCATAATCATAACCATAATCATAATCATAATCATACTCATAATCATAACCATAATCATAATCATGATCATAATCATAACCATAATCATAATCGAAAATAGACTCGTGCTCTGATTGGCGGATACAGAAACCCAGCAGCCAATCAGAACGCAGGAATGTCACGGAAAATTTCACGGGACGGACTTTTCGAAATTATAATATAGATAATATGGATACGATCCGAATAATTTGAAAAATCCTATCCGGATTTCGTATTAGCCGGATCGGATTTTACTGATCGGATCCTTCCAGCCGCATAAATACATATTTATAAAATAAATAAATAAATGCGAACCTCATTATTTCGGTCTGTAACTGCTTGGATTTTGTGTTATTCACAAATCGGAGGAGACCATCATCTCCACGAATTAGATCAGCTGTAAAATTGAACATATTTCTGTTCAAGATTCCCCATCGAGCCACGTACTGGCGATCTTTCCAAGAACCGTGCCACAAGTGATTTATCCTCATCCCTGGCACGAATCCTACAATTGATTTTCCAGTATCTTTTCTCAAGTGGTGAAGTTTGTTGTATGATTCCTGAAAATTAATCGGATTATTGACAAGTGAAATTTAAATTTGTTAAGTACTAGGCATTTTTAAACATACTTGTGATTTATGGAGGATATATTCCTCAATTGCGGGGTTAAGCCAATGTTCCGCGGCACCAGAGACGGAGTTGATTAACGAGAATGCAAAGTGTAGATCGTTGGAACCCGTAATATCGAAGTCTGGGAGACCACCCATTTCCTTGAAGGTTTTCACCGTGGTTGCCCAACCGTAGCTTAATTTGAAAAAAATAATAAAAAAATAAAGTAATTGAATAATTGCAGACTCATTGTCAGATTAGGACTGACATTTTGGCCCGTTCAGGCCAAAATGTCAAAAATGTCAAAAATGACAAAATGCCAAAAATTAAACAAGAATTTGTTTAATTTTGTTTATCTTATTTATTTTTGAATGATCCTGAATTTCAGAAATATAAAAAAAATTAGCAACAACGAATGTATGAACACAAATTTTAAAAAAATAAGATTTGTTAGGTATATTTTTGAAATACTCGATTGCAGGAAAATAAACAAAGTAAACAAAAATAAACAAACATTACAAATTATCGGCCGTAGTCAGTTGTAGGAAATTTCGTTCCTTACCCAGGATGAGCATACCACTCCTGGTTTCCCTTAACTGAGGAATAACCAAATGAATGATCCGTTCTCAAGATCTCATCGTGGGGCCCGAGAAAATTTGCGGTTTCGAAAACCTGCACGATGAGATTGTCAGTCAAAGCAGCTTTTGTCCGATTGACCCAATCCGCATGTACAAACTCTATGTCGGCATCCAACCAGGCGACATACTTGGCATTGGGGGGCAATCGTGAGACTGCAATGTTGATGAGCGATTCTTTCACCCAGTAGACAGAGTGGGACCGGATCTAGGTAATAATTTTGTTAGATTTAAAAAATGCAAGTTAACTTAGTTACACATACTTGTGTAACGACTTATTATATTCCTTTTGGTGACCTAACCAATAACACATAAACGTATAATTGAAAATTTACGATTGACAATCAAAATAATTTATAAAAATTGAATCAATCCCATTACACATAAAATGAAAAAAAGTTATTACTGCAGACAACAAGTAGAATTTTCCAACCAAAATGTTTAACGTTTTCTATATCGACGCAATACAAGTGTTAGAATTGTTGAAATTTTTGTAAATGTTGAGATTTGCAATTGTTTCAAACAATTTGTTTGTCTGCTAAAAAATTGGGATTTGAATTTACGACAAAGACCCTTGTATAAGTACCTGAATGTGACTTTGGTTATTTTCCTCGGTTACTTGAAACTCATCCTGACCAATGGCTGGGAAGATGGCTTCAATCGTGACAAGCTGAGCTCCCGTTTGATTCATGTGTGTCTCAAAGCGACGGTAAAGATCGTACCGAGTTTTGTAGCAGGCTGGATTGAAGATGGCTGCTATTACGTAGAAATCATTCATGCTGGGGGTTGGTTCCGAGCCGGGAAGAGTGACATCTGTTATCCGGTCAGTTTCTGGGAATGCACTCTCCTAGAGGAGGCATTATTTATCAACATATGATCAATCACGATAAAACAAAATATGTACAAGTAAGGATTCGAATTAACAAATCAGATGACGTTCTTTTGCAGAACGTACTGTACTGGACTGAAAACAGAATTTCTGATAATGACGGTTTAAATGTGTGTCTATTATCTCCCATTTATTTCTCCTATTTATACATATTTCCTGCTTGCCTACACTCTAAAAGATAGATAATCATAATTGTATTCACCTGCCTCATAATAAAAATTTTACCACCTGGTAATAAGTAACTCTTAAGTGGTAAAAATTATTACTACTTTATTTACTACATTTTTATTTCCATGCAGTAATCAGTCCATCTATTATCGGATTAGTTAGTATATATGATTTCAGCTAGCACCAGATTATTTAGAGTGTATGCACATATTTTCATACTCCTCGATTTTCGAAAATTTAAGACATGCAAATATGAATTTAATATTTCAAACCTTCCGCTCCTCGTGAGGAGCATCTCCTGGTTGAGTTGGATGATGGAATTGGGATGTGAGACGGTTATGCGTGTAAAATAATTCAGGCATTTCACAATCTACGGGTCGACTTGCCAACCAAATTAGACACACCCATTGGATAGTTTTGCAATTCATGACAAATTTTAGTGTGGTGCAAATCTTTTGGTAAAATATTGCTACTACAAAATGTGAACGTTGCGTCTCAAGGGTGAAAGGTGACTGAAAGGGAAATGTTAAATAACCTGGATAAATGCCAAGGAATCCCGGTTTACGTGGTGATCATAGAATATTAAGTATGTATTGTATGGTAACAAAGGTTTATGTATGTCCCGGTATTAACGGAATTGTACCGTACGCATGGAAGAAGAGAAAAGGGAACCGGGTACAAAATACTAATTGACAGGTTGCCTTACTTATGTGGAATAACGACTTTTAACTATTCTCCAATCATCCCCAGCATGCATATGAACCGTATGTATGTAAATAGGTCAGGTTCAACTGTTAAAGATTTACAGGTATTCAGGTAGAATTATGTACTTCACCGGTAACGGAGGATGATACCGTTGGCTTTGGAAAGGACACACATCCAGACCGTTATGTTTCCCCACTAAACGAAGGAACGTGGCTCAAGCGAATTTTTCCTTGTGACACGTAGAGTGTGAAAAATCCTGAAGAATGGTGAATGCTTGATTGCACATGAGTCCAAAAAATGTCATCGCACAGGATAACAAAAAGAGCAAAAGTGGTCCTAAGTTTAACATATGTATGCAAGATGTTGCCCAGTTTTGCTGGTAAACATATTTGAGTGTGACTGGTAGCCTTTACCAGTAATTTCCAGAAGGTTAAAATAATTCAAATGTCAACTTAAACGTTAAAATGACTAACGTACATATGTAATTCTGCTCAAACTAATAAATTATTTGGGGCATTCACGTTGTGTAAATTGTAAATTAATCGTAGTATTAATCTAAATTGTAAACTTTTTGCTTGTTTTCATCCCTGACAATTACGACGGTGACGTGAATACCCTAGTAATATTTTAGAATCTAAAAATATGTATCCCTGAAATTAGTAACATACATGTCATAGTCCTACTTAACTTTTATTGTTTTACTCACAAATAGATACATCCCAACCAACCAAAGTCTGAAAATTTTGTACCAAATTTGTACTACTGGATTAATGCGTATTCACCGTTAAAATGTGAAGCGGATTTGCAGTAATTTTGTACAAGTCGCATGTACAAGATTCATACGAAAAAATTGTCAATGCAAGTTTACTTGTACAAAATATGTACTAAATTTACACAAACAGGTTTGTACGAATTTGGTGATGATTGATATGCAGTAATATGGTGAGAATTTAGTACCAATTTAGTGCGAATTTAGTGCTGATTATGCACTAATGATACGCATGAAATTTATGCACATTTATTTACACGGATTACTCAAATTTCAATTGTTTATTTATTTCAAATTCATCTTCATTATTTCCACATTAATTGGTTCTCAAATAATTCTAATTTATAGATTAATTTCTAATTAAAAGATGAATTGCAAATTGGCGTACAAAAATATTTATCATTAATCATCGGCAGAATTAAATATATGGGACCTTGAAGTAGATTAGCTGCTAATCGATTTGCGAATGGAATCTTGTCGCTTTTTTCCAGTATATCGAATTTTAGAACGAAGCTCATTCGTAATCATGGAATGAGTATGTCGTACACGTCCTTAGCCAACGACGATCCACCCTTCCTCGAAAGAGAAGCAATCTGAAATAATTGCATTGAGCTATAAAAATTGTTTTCCAACTTATTTGCATTGCATTGCTGCAGTAATTATACATACAAACTCTTACTTCTTCATTATAATAGGATGGATTTGCCAGTAACGCTTAGATATTCTCCAGCTCGTCCACAGTTTTTGAATTTGGGCAACTAGCTCTTGTTGATTTTATCAGAAGTTTTTCAAGATTTGCCACCCTTTCCAACAATATACATATGCTGATTTCTCAATGACTCTTCTTGAAATTCTGTATTCAAACACGAGTTTATAGAAATTTAATGTAAACATAATAATGTGAGACTAATAAATGAGCCTTACCTCTGAATTCTGATATAAGTGATTCAATCCCTGGGTCCGGCTCTAATTGCTAACTTTGAACCTGTGGGGTCTCGCTACTCACTTCTTCAGTTGAGGGGATGGCGATGGGGACGGTTGAGTTCCCGATGAAAATAAATATTAAGATTGAAGTGTGTTTCAAACTACAGTGAATTTATTATTTATGATTTTCTTACTATCGGTGCACAAATCGGTGTCAGGGGCTAGTATAATGTTCACCTCAGACGCTTCAGCTGAGAATTTGATTCTTGACGACGTCTTGGTATGTCACAGTCACTAGAGTCGATCGGTTTATTCTTTATATATTTTTCCAATTTCTTTACGGCTTTATCGTACGTATCTATAAATTTAGTAAAACATCTTTGCATTATTAGGCTAAATATGGATGAGCGTAAAATTAGCCAAGAATAAATAATTACCGTGTGTTCCGACATATAATATGCCATAATTCGTCCAACCTTCTTGCGGGAGAGAAAATGGGTCACTTTGATAACTCGAAAATCCCTTAGGAATGGGATTAGTAAACTGACAAAGTTGAATCCTTGAAACTCCATGTGGACGGCACAACCTCCACCCCCTCGTCAACTTCAAACTCGAATAATACGAATGCTTTCAAATTGTCCGACATAGGTTCACAATTAGCTCACCAACTTTCTGGTTGGAATTCAAAATGGAGAAAAAACGTGGCGACGCTACTTTGTCAGATGCCAACCTGACTGATTACGTTGCTCGAATTGGTTTATTTAATCGCTAATAGAGAAATAGTACTAATTTATTAATAAATTATCGCGGAATAATCGGCACGAATTCAGTACAAATATTCTAGCACATTTTTACTGCAATTGGATTCGTGCAATTTTCCAGGTGCGAATTATGTATGAATTTAGTGCGAGAAATCTCATGAGAATTTTATGCCAACAAATACGTACTAAATTTTCACTTCTCCATTTGTAATAATTTACTACTAATTAATTTGTGATAATTTAATGCGTTTTGCGTGCTAATTTATTAGTAGTAGACAAATTGATACCAGTTTTGTATGAATCTAGTACAAATTAATGATTGCATTTTTTTATGCACAAAAATTGCATAAACTTGCATTGGAATTCGCAGCAAATATGCATTGAGGTTACTTGGGATACGAGTAGGATGAGATGTTAATTATGCATAACTTACTTTAATAGAAAATATTACGATTGGTAGACTATTTTATATGGCACGTGCGACGCAGCGGGTTATGCACTGCATACATGTGTGTCTCCTGAGCTGTGTAGTCTACATGTATGTATAATGGGGGTTTTCAAGTCAACGTTGCAAATATGTAAATATCGCAACAAATGGTAAACGTCTCAAACTCTGAAAAATCCTAAAGCCTAAAAGTAATGAAATAAGTTACGAAATAATGGCAAGCATTGGCTAATTTCCATACAAAATATTTCTTTTTGGGCCAAGTTAAATCATCGCACTGGTTTACGATTTGTATATCGTCGTTCTAATTCTAAATAAAGCTCAGTGCAGTGAGTTCTTAATTTTAAAAAGAGCTAACTGCACTTGTTTTAAATATAGTGTTTATTGTGCAGTTAGCTCTTTTTAAAATTAAGAACTGACTGCACTTAGCTCTATTTGAAATTAAGCATTCACTGCACTTAGCTCTATGTAGAATTAGAACGACGATATGCATTCAGGGTAAATATTTTCATGGAATTCACATTGCAAAGTATACATACGTGTAGCAACACGTCGGATATTTTTATCTCTGCCAGATAAGAACGTATCCCGTCGTTTTGTGAATTACACGTAGTCATTCATTCCTCATCCAATTGTACTGGTAAAAACGAATAACTTTACTACAATATGTATTTGTACTTGTATTTAAGTATTTAAGCACAATTTGGTTAAACCGCTATTAATTGAGAATTTAAATTAAGATTTATGTACACACACTTGTCTACCGTCTTTTGAAATCTACACCCACCGCAAGTTCATAATGTTGCAGGGGGAAGGATCAAATTTTGGAGTAATGTGTTATAAAATAAACATACGAGTTTTTTATACTTAAAAAAATCATTTACATTATTATTTTTTAAGGAGAGTGCATCTAAGCTTTCCATTATGCCCCAAAACGAGTCGTTACTCTCGGAGTCGGAATCATTTCTTAATCACGATGTACATTTATTGGTATGCATAATGCATAGTGCATGAAAATGCATAATGCATTTTCCAGATTGGACAATTTTGATAAGTTAGGTTTGCTTATCTGAAAAATTGATCAGCCCCATATCGCGAATTTTTGAGTGGATTTCGTCACCATAAATCCAAATAAACTTCAGCTTTTAGTTTGGGACAATTTGAATTAAAATTTCACAAATTTTATTTCCAATTATTCATGCCAATAGTAGTCATAGTTTGTTACGGCTCTTGTAAATGCCGCTCCACTAGAAACTTTGAACTAAAAAAACTCACGGTTCCACCCATTTTGAATCGAACAAAATTTTTTGTTCGAATAAGTTTTTTTATGATTTAGGTGTTAGCACCCACAAATTTTCGACTTTTGAAACTTCTATGCATCAAAAGTTTCGTATTCATGGGGGCATATGCAAGTGTAGGTCTAACTCTTTTTTTTACCAAGTACACTCTCAATAATTTACAAACAAAATTGTCACCAATTTTGCTACCCTGACATGGTGACACCAACTGTCTCCCATCATGTAGTAATTTTGTCACCAAAATTGTCAACATCGAGGGTAATAAACATTATATCCTCCTAGGATATAATTTGTTTCCTCCGTGGATGTAGATTTACCTCCAAAATTATTACCCGTAGGTGAAAATTTGTCTCCTCAACCCCAAAGCCAAGTTTTAATGGCGGAAGAAACTCACTTTGAGTGAAGTGAGTTTCTCGAAAACGTTTTCCTCTCGCACCTGCCAAAATGACGAAAATTGTTCGGGTTTCGCATCGAAATTAGTAATCGTGGATTCCGATTATGAATCATTCTCCAGTTCAGGTAAATAATCTTAATGCATAGTTCATAGGATCACTACTGTAATTTTGTTGATTTATGTGCTCTATTTACAGTAAAACAGAAATTTTTACTTAATCCGGACACACAAATTTCATTCCAAGATGAATACGACGGAGGAGAGCCATACCAACTGTTCCACAAACCCTGTTTCCATTTTTAGCAAAAAGCAGAGTGAGAGTTGGACTCTGGTGGGTATCACCACCACCGGCGACTGTCGATGCGACAGTGCCGTATGGTGGTCTGTCTCACTTCTCACTCTCTGCAAATTGTTTACCGGGATTATGAACCAACTCGTGTTGAGATGCTTTTTATCTCTCACACGAGTTGGTTCATCTTTGGAATTCTCCAATTTTTTAAAATAAAACTAAAAAAGTGGGAGTTTTTTTTATAAAATATTAAAAAAGTGAATCATGGAGGCTCACTCCTCCCTCCCAAGAGAGCAGCCACCTTCACCACCACCCCCAATATCACCCCTGCCACCACCGCCACCCCCAATTTCGACATCACTTCCACCACCACCACCGGATACTACCACACCCACCGAAATAAGCCAAGGTAGGTACCTTTTAAGGTTGAATCTCTGAGAGCAACGGTCAAACGTGTCGAATTTTTTGTCTTGACCGTTTTAGATTGGTCGTGGATTTCAAAAATCGACTTTGTTTTGACTTGTCACGACCGTGTGACCGTGTCGCTTTACCTTTTTGCTACATTTCGATCGTTGTTTGCAACGGATTATTGAAAATGGTATGCTTTAAAAATCAGAGATGGGATAAATATTAAAATTGTTATATTATGTTATATTTTTAAAATTGTCAAAAACTCAGAGATGGAATAGTTTAAGTTGGGGTATATTTTAAAAATTTTCTAAAAAGCCGAGATAGCTTAATTATTTAAATTTTGCAATATTTTTAAAATTTTTAAACAAATAGAGATAGGATAATTATTTAAATTGGACAAGATTCCTGAAATTAAAAAAATCAGAGATGGGATAATTATTTAAATTGGGGAAGATTTTTAAAATCTTCAAAAGATCAGGGATGGGATAATTACTTAAATTTTGCAATATTTTTAAAATTTTCAAAAAATCAGCGATGGGATAATTATTTAACTTGGGCAGGATTTTTTAAATTTTCATAAAATCAGACATAGGGTAATTATTTAAATTTTGCAAGATAATTATTTAAATTAGGGAAGATTTTTAAAATTTTCAAAAAACAGATTGGGTTATTATTAACAGTTGGAAATTTTTACAAAAGTTTTGAATATTCAGAGACAGGTTAATTTTTAAAATTAGAACATGCTAATAAAATTCTATTGGAAGATTCCAATTAGTAAAAACGTTTCAAAGTATGTCAAAAATTCAAGTAGTGGTAATTGTTTTCTTTATAGTACGTCGCTGCGACATTAGACTCTGATTGCCCACCACCGATGGACTTGTTCTGAAGACGAATCTCGACCACTAGACAAGATTGTGCAAAGCAGAACTATGCAGTCTGTCAGGCAGTCATTTCCAGGTTTCAATTTCAAACTTATTTTCAGTGATAATTTTTTCTGTGCAAAATGCATTGAGTTTTTTGGACGGCGCCGTGTTCGCACATGTTGTCATCCAAAGCATAACAATAAATACAAAGGCAAAAATGTGAAATACATCACTGCGGAAGATTACTTTACCCAATACAAAGCCCTGGGATTATTACCAAATCAAGCGATATGCAAGGACACAAAATTCTGCTATGATGATACCCAAGAAATTCAAGATCAAGATTCGGAAGATCCTATCTTTGAAGAACCAGCCTCAAAGAAGAGATTGGTCGAGACGTTAACAAGTATCAAGCAAACAATTTCCCCTTCGGCCCCTGCAATAGCATTGAACAGAAGAAATCTCAAGCAACAAAGTAATCTAGTCACAAGAGAACTTGAGCAAGTAACGAAGACAATCACCACAGGATTCCAAGATGTCGGACTACCAATTCCAGACAAAGAACAACACAATCAAGAACAACTTCTCCAGGATTCTACAGATCTCAACTGGATCATGAAGCACTTGAAGCTAAGATTGCAAGGATGTTCTCAAGCCGAAAAAAAACAACTGCTTACCTTAGTTCCACCGTCTTGGAGTATTAAGAAGACTCAAGATTTCTTCAATATTGGGAAACGCTTGGTTCAGGGAAGCCGCAAACGTCGTAAAGAAACCGACACAATCCTTCCTCCAATAAAACCAAAATCTGGATACAAAATTACCCAAGAAACCAAATCCAATATTCAAGATTTCTATTATCAAGATGATGTGTCAAGAGCCTGCCCAGGACAAAAGGATTTTCTGTCCATCAAGAACAAGGAAACAGGAAGACGAGAACACAAGCAGAAACGATATCTTCTAAGCAATCTCAGGGAGCTCTACCAAAATTTCAAGATTCAGTACCCGGATTCGAAAGTTGGGAAATCGTCATTCATGATGCTGCGGCCACGAGAATGCATCTCGCTAACCAGCAAGGGATACCACAACGTTTGCGTGTGCATTTACCATGAAAATGTGAAGCTGCTGTTCCATGCCATCAAGATTTCATCCATCAAGCCTTCAATTTCACAATTAGTCTGTGAAAGTGGAGGCAAGGATTGCTACTACAGACGATGTACAAAGTGTAAAGGATCTACAACAAACTTCAAAATAGCTTTAAGAGAAAACGAAGTCATCAGGAACAACACGTCAATTTCATACCGAAGATGGCTGACGACAGACGGAACTCAATACGTGACTGAGGAAAAAGAAACCGAAGACTTCTTGGACTTTGCAACTTCGGAACTGGAGAAGCTGTTGAAACATCACTACATCAGCAAAGCTCAGCATGAATTTCTTGTGGATCTTCGAAAGAATCTCAAGCCTGGTGAGCTCTTCATTTGGGGAGACTTTTCCGAAAACTACTCACCTGTAATCCAGAATGCTGTCCAGTCCGAATACTTCTCCCACAAACAGATCA